GAGGGGAGGGGGGAGGGGAGGGGGAGGAGGGAAGTGGGATCTACACGATCCTGGTACAGTTTGTTTTCCTCCGCATCGGTCTTCCTTTTTTTCGTTTTCCCTCTGCGTCCTCGTCAGGAAATTGGATGCAGCGAGCAGAAACACATTATGTTTGTGGGTTCTGTTGGGGTATGATTTATGAGAGAATCCCCCATTTTGCTTGTTAAGTCCCTCGACTCCGTGTGTGGTCTGTGAACTCACCTGCCAAAATCAGTGTGAAGCAGGATAGGACCAATAGTTCCCGTGTTACGAGAAAATAAATAGATAGCAATTAATTCTGTCATGATAAAAAAAAACAACACAAAGCGTATCTCTCGAGGAGGTTTTTGTTTGTTCTCATATGAATATAACGCCATATCAGACATATCGGAAGTCGATCTGATAGACTCAATAGTCAGAAAAATGAAGTTTTTTAAAAGCCAACTTGGGCGATATCGGCTACTTATGGGCAATTTAATAATTTTGTTAAGCGGTTGGGATAACCCGAGGGTGGTTGACGGGTGCTCTGGTGTGGTTTGCTCCTTCTTTCCTATCAAACATCTATCGTCCTTATCTCTGCTCCTTCTTTTTTGCATTTGCCACTCTCTTGCAACACCTCTAATCTTCGGCACTTGTAAGTGACCTTATTGTGTTGCAAGTGCCGTAAAACACTTACTAAGAAAAAAAAGAGGTTGGGATGACCCAGGTAGTGATACGTATTATTTAACACCCTACTAGGATGTACATGTAGGTGGGAGGTACGATTTGCTGGGTTTTGTATTTGTTGAATTATATTTTTTACTCTTAAGGGTGGCAAGAGAATTATATTTTTTACTCTTAAGGGTGGCAAAAGTGGGCGCTGATTATGAAAAGGTTTTCAAGCACTAGACATAAAGAAAAGAACAATGAGTGGATTGAGACAAAGACAAAACACTAAATTGTAATGTCACATACGAACATCCGGCAAAAGACGGCGCCTTTAAAAATGAAAACCTTCACATCAGTCTTGACCTGAGGAATATCTTCTTTGGATCACTTTGACATCTATGTGTCCCCCTAGACTCAAAATTTGCCGACACTCACCCCC